GTAAATATTTCTTGAGATATTCACATTTCTCTGTTATCTGTCTATTTATTCACGAACAAAAATACGACTTTGTAAATACAATTTATCAATGATCTAAATTATTTTTAAAATTTTTCATTTGAAACATGAGACCATAGTGTTGATCATGTATTCTAGTTGAAAGGTTGAGAAAATGTAAGCAGATTTTCGGGAAACCAACTAAATTTAAAAATCTCAAGAACTTTTGCATAATACTTATCAGTTACAATTAACCACGTGCTTCTATTCCTGCTCTTTGTAGGCGGAATGATGACTAGCAATAGAAGCAGCAGTTTGAAAAGATGATTCGAGAGTGAAATGCTTTATAACTATAGGCATCTTATTCGAGAGAAAACTGATGGAAGTTTATGTTTTGATTGAATTATTGGCCCGACTTTCGTCGAGCACTCAAAAAATTGTTTTAAGACTCATTTGTGTTGTCCCTCTCCACGGAAATCTTTAGTAAAAGGCGAAAGATTTATTCGCAATGAAGAGAGACCAGAGTAAAGATAAATTGAACTCAGTGATATTTATGACCAACGAGCAGTCGCCTGTTGGCGATATAATAGTAGCGCCATCTCTCATCGATCGCTCGAAGATCGTGAATGTTGTTTAATCGTTATGGAAATCTTCAACATTTTCTGTATATTTCCGTTACTTGAAGATTTCATGACGGGAGATTCTTGTCTATCATGCAATGGTTTTTTATTTCCTATGAACAAATACATTATTCGACATTGATAACCTATAATTATTGTTCTATAATTTGCATAGGTCTGGTGATATTTACAAAATATCATCAAAGTCGATAGATAAGTTCATTCTCAAATTTGATGATGGTGAATAATTATTAATATTTATTATACAACGGAAAAAAGTATTAGATAGCTAAAATTTAATATTTTTCTTAGATCATAGCTAAAATTGATTCCCCAATGATTCTGATTGAATATCCCAAGTAGCACACATATATTGGGACAATATCGGTGCAATATTACGAAAATATCGGCAAAATATTGTGAAAGTAATATTGGCGAGAAAAAAAATGTGAACATTCGGCGATATTGGTACAATATCAGTTTCCAAATGTGGGTAGAATATTCTCATATTGATATTGGTTGAATATTCGTAGAGTAATATCGGACACAAAATGTAATATCAATATTGGCGAGAAATTAATGGTGAACATTCAGCAATATTGGTGTAATATATGGAAATATCGGTGAATCATTGGAAACCTTCATGAAGGTATGTTGTCTCAGAAATATTGGTTGAAAATTCTCATACCAATATTGCTGGTATATTCGTGAAGTTATATTGGTGCAATATTGGTTGGGAATATAGGTACATTATTGAAAATCATTATGTAGCTATGTTGTCTTCAAAATATTGGTGGAATATTTTCATACCAATATTTGCGAGTTATTCGCATCAGGAATAATCACAAAGGTCAGCCCAGCCGGAGTGCAATGGGAGGGCCTTGCCCTAGGGAAGCCGCCTTGTTGATCACGGTTAACCCCTACTCCAGGTTATAATACTTCACAATCGTCTAGAGCCAATATTTAAATTCTCTCGTCGGATCGGCAATGAGAGTACGTTACCAATCATTTATAGCGCCATCTATCGACATCGGTTTAGGAGTGCGTAATATGGAATAAATATCGAAATTCCGATATCGATATGTATTCTCAAAACAATATGTGAACAATATTGCTTACATGATATAGTGAATCACATATCAGCCAATATAAGATGATATTATTTTCTGAATATGGCTAGAAAACTATTCACCCGATATACAATTGATCTTGAGAATACAATATTGTTTTTCTCTTCTATGTCCGATATAAGATACATATTGAATTGCCGTTATTGATATTCATATTTGAATCATTGAAAACCCCTTCAGAATCGACATGGGGAGAATGTTGGAATTGCTATATTGGTTATAATTGTTGGAAACAATATGTATACGATATCTTCCGCATTATATGGATAGAATGATATTAATCAAGATAGGTGAATATGATATTTCGAATATTGTTGAAACAATATTCAACCAATATGCCGTCGAACTCAATTATACAATATTGCACAACCGCTTCAGAATCAACATGGGGACAATATTCAAATCGCGATATTGGTTATAAATGTAAGAAGCAAATTGTATACGATATCTTCCGCATGATATAGATAAAATGATATCAATCAAGATGGGTGAATATAATGTTTCAAATATTGTTAAAACAATATCCAACCGATATGCCGTTTAACTTGAAAATACAATATTGCATAACCGCTTCAGAATCGACATGGGGAGAATGTTCAAATTGCAATATTGGTTGTAAATGTCGGGAACAATATGTATACGATGTTGTTGTATCGACATTCGTAAAACAATATTATATAACATTCATAGATATGTTTTTCAACACATTGTTAACGAATTTTACAACCAATATTGCTCCAATATTGTAGCTGACAATCCATATTCAGCTCAGGTTGAACCAATATTCCTCCAATATTATCATTCCAATATTGTTTGTCCAATATACTCTCATATTGGACCTATATTATTTTTCACATGTACGATATATCTATATCGGCCCAATATGAAATCGGGTTCCAGCCAATATGATGTGCTACCTGGGATACAATAAATAATTGAACAGTTATTCAATATTTATTATACAACGGAAAAAGTATTAGATCAAAGCTAAAATTTAATATTTTTCTTAGATCATAGCTGAAATTTAATATTTTTCTTCTTCTCCATACGACTCGTTTATGATGTTAGTTCTTTCTCTATTTCTATAGTTATTCCATTCATGAGTTTTTAAATACTGAGTATTATTTAGTTGTATACTTCTGAATGTTGACAGGTTGAAAATATAATAGAATAGAATAGGAAGAGAATAGAAAATGTATTCATCACTGAAATAATAAAATGAATAGAATAAAATTTAGTCATCACTGAAATTTTACGTAGAGATACAGAATAATATATACAAAAACTTATTGGACTAGTCGAGACAAAAACATTCAGAAGTATACAACTAAAAGCATGAAAAACATATAGTGGGAGTCAAATACTCTAATACTCAGTATTTAAAAACTCATGAATGGAATAACTATAGAAATAGATTATGCATCATAGTCTCGACTAGTCCAATAAGTTTTTGTATATATTATTCTGTATCTGTATGTAAAATTTCAGTGATGACTAAATTTTATTCTATTCATTCTATTATTTCAGTGATCATTTTCTATTCTATTCCTATTCTATTATATTATATTTTCAACCTGTCAACAGAGATGATTTTTCGAACTTTCTTCCAGTCACAGAAAAAACTAGGTTTCTTGTGCCATCAAAATGATGACTATAACGATTCACGTAAGAGCATTCATATGCTAAATATTTCATATATAAAAAAAAGATTTGATAAAATATCGGAAGAGAAGGCGTCGATATAAAAAATACGCTATTGTGCCGTCAGAATAATGACTGACGATTTACGTAAGAACTTTCATGTGCTAAATATTGTATATAAAAAAAGAGCTCTCATGTACAGTCGTCTTCAGCGAACATGTCGCGGTTGGATGGTACGAGCGCTTTTATTGCAGCAGTGATCAAGGGAGCTGACACCGTCCATGTACGACATGATCTCTGAAGACGACTGTAGCTTTCATGTGCTAATTATTTTATATAAAAAAAAAAAAATTGATAAAATATCGGAAGAGAAGGCGTCGATATGAAAAATACGCCATTGTGCGTCAAAATAATGACTGACGATTTACGTAGGAGCTTTCATGTGCTAATCATTTTATATTAAAAAAATATATATTTGATGAGATATCGGAAGAGAAGGCTTCGATATGAATAATACGCCATTGTGCCGTCAAAATGATGACTAACGTAAGAGCTTTCATGTGCTGAATATTTTATATATAAAAAAAAGATTTGATACAATATCGGGAGAGAAGGCGTCGATATGAAAAATACGCCAATTCGCGGTCACGGCTTCTGCCGCGTGCCGCCTACTCGCAAGAGTTTTTATGTGCCAAATGTTTTATCAAAAAAAAAACGATCTAATAAAATATCGAAAGAGAGGGTATCTGAGAATTCCGGCGGTCACGCCTGCTGTCGCGAGCATATTTAATGTGTCAAATGTTTAGAAAAAACCTTTTCAATAAAATAGCAGAAGAGACTGTGTCAATCTGAAAACTGGGTGCTTTATCTGGAGAATTTGCCTATTTGCGGTAACGGCTGCTGCGGCTCAACGCCTATTCGCGATTAGGGCGAACGGCCAGTGCCGCCTATTCGCGGTAACGCATTGTTTATATTTGCGGATACGGCTGCGGCTGACGCTGCGTACCCTATCCGCGGTTACGGCTGCTGCCGCGTGCCACCAATTAGCGTTAAGGTTGCTTCCGCGTGCCTCTTAATCGCGGTAAATTTGGGATTACGGCTGCTGCCCTGTGCCCTTTTCGCACTTACGGATGCTTATTCACGCTTAGGGCTGCGGCAGCGTGCTGCCTATCCGCGGTTACGGCTGCTGCCGCGTGCCGCCAATTAGCGTTAAGGTTGCTTCCGCGTGCCTCTTAATCGCGGTAAATTTGGGATTACGGCTGCTGCCCTGTGCCCTTTTCGCACTTACGGATGCTTATCCACGCTTAGGGCTGCGGCAGCGTGCTGCCTATCCGCGGTAACGGTTGCTGCCGCGAGAGCACCGTCAATGCTCTCGAATAATCGCGGCTACGCCGCTGCCGCATTCTCGTGCTATTGGACTGCTTGTAATTCATGAATTCAATTGACTATTATGTTTTGATTATTATAAATGGGCCGATCCCGGCGGTACTGCAATACCGGGCCAACCCGCGACAGAGGTGGAGCAAGCCCCTAACCCTCCGTCAATTTCCAAAAATCAGTTTAATATACTGGCCCCGCATGCGGGGCGTATCAGATATTAAGCTGATAAGAACAGATTGAAATTTTTATTATAAATAATAATTTTTACATAGGTTATACAATAATGGTTGTGTCAAAATATATATAAAATAGTCAGGTACATGAATAATTACAGCCCATTGTGATCACAATATTACAAAATTGATAATAAAAGATATAGGTATAGTACTATAGTGTATAAGACATATAAGAAATAACAATTGAATATAAAGGTAGAAGGAAGGAATATTTAAAAAGAATAATAATACACATTTTTAGACAAAAAGAAACAATAAGTTGCGTTGTAAAATCAGAGAAAAAAAATAAAAAAACATGGACAGACAAATCAGGCACCAACCGCATATTGCCGGGTACCCGTGAGATGCTCCACATAAATATCACGGGACCATCTGATTGTGTCGCTACACATCAGCAGCCTCATGAGCTTCGCGTATCTCTGCGAGATTCCGCACAGCCGGAGCACCGGTTCGTTGTTCTGGTCCCATGAACCAAGAGCACCGACAATGAGGGCATCCACCGTTGCCTCGTAGCCCTGAGTGCGAAGCTCCTCAGCAATGCCTGCATACTTTGCTTTCTTGGTTTCGCGGGCTTGCAGGAGGGCTTGAGGTTCGTTCTCAAAAGGCACAGTGACGTCAACGATGATGACCCTTGACTCGTCCTCATTCACCACCACGATGTCGGGACGTAGGTTGGAAGTGGAGTGGGGCACTCTCCTGTTTACATGGACTGTCCCAAGGCGAGCAGGGAGGGCCTTCACAAACCTGTCCTGGATCCCGTTATGCCGGTGTTGCCAGGCAGCCGAGTGCATTCTGCAGTGGTTGAGGACATGTGGCAGTGTTTCATTTTGTTCCTGGCACCGCCTGCAACGCTTGTCCCCATTCCCAAATCTCCTGGTGGCGTTAAGAGGTACACAATCAAGCCTGGCACGGTGGATAAATCGCCAGTCGCAGAACCTAGTTGCGTAGCTTTTGATCTTAGCCAGAAGGCCGAGAAGCGATGCCGAACAAATTAACTAAACCAGTATTTATTGCCGCTCAACCGAACGCTGTCGGCAGGCGGCAAGCGTAAGCGCGCCGCGCCCTCTCGGAACGGAACAGAACACTAACAATGCTTTTCATTCCTTGTGAGCCAAAAGGATTTGCAACGGTGGAGGCAGCAGCCGTGGCGGCATATTTTCCATTGCCACTTTTTTTTTTTCGATATGGTTTCTAGCAAAAACAACATTCGTCACAAAATTTACATTTTTAGTTATTGGCACCATTGCATTTTTAAATATAATATCTTTGCCCCTACTGCTCCTACAAACTTTTTCTAGCGGGAATCACGTATGTCAGGATGATTTGCATGGTTTGAAATTCAGCTATTTGATATTTTTGTTCTTGGTCCAAATGCAAAACTTTGTTACCTTTCTTTCTAATTGCGTTTTTTGAGTAATAGCTTTTTGAGTGTTAATGCGTCTAATTTTGTTATAGGGAGATTTTGTGATAGAATATAAAAAATATATAATTTTAGACTTTCTTTTATTAATTGCTCCACAAACTAATTGTTTCAAATTCAACCTGTTTTGCGACAATCAATTGGAACGCTTTTTCCTGAATTTGCTTTTGTTGACAGAAAAAGCTGGTTTATCTAGAAAGCCTTCGAAGTCATCAAGGAATGGCGTACTGTATTCGACTGCTTACTATTGCCATCCATGCTCATTTTACTTTTTATCAATTATGATTCACTGCATATACTTTTCACACAATAACACGAAATAATTTCGATGATATCCAATCGCGATTTACAGGGTCTGAACTCTGAAAGTATCCATTTAGAGTTCCGTTCCGATTAGATAATTTCTTTATCCTACACTGGATGTGAGTTGAATCGCCATCGATACGTGAACATTCATATTAAGTTTGAATTAATTGCTATATCGTCTATATCCGATGGGGTATCGCTACCACTCACTTCCACGATCATTATCCTCGAAAATGAATATATAATATTGAATAATATTAAAGCAAATATAAATCACCGTTCCATCAAACCAGCATCAAACCATTCTCATACATAAATGGTATATATTGATTTAATTCACAGAGTTGTATAAACATTCGTAATTTGAACTCATTGCATGTACTTCATTCGAACATAATCTTCCTAAATCCTAAAAACTTCACAAACGATATAAAAAAACAGAAAAAAAACTTTCCTAAAACTATTCAACTTCTGCTGGTGCATGTGACGCAAAAGATAACTGTTTGAAGAAATATTCATTCATTGAAGAAGAAATACAAACAGAACGTCGAAGTATTTTTTAATTTTGTTTTTATTTTTTTTTCTATTTGTATATCATCAACTTTACTATTAATATACCCTGATATTATAACAGGTACAGCTCGATTCCATATTTCTATTTGTTAAATTTGTATAATTTATTGAGAAAAGGGGATATAGAGAGCGAGTAAAATGGAAGACAAGTAGAGAACTTGACTAGCCAGGAGGGAGAGTACTATCGTTATCAATAATGCATTGATCGCAACACTATTCTCATGCATCATTTATTAAAGAAGATTTTTTGATATTTAAGTTGCTTAAAACATTTATAGGCAATAAAATATAAAATATGTGGCAACGTATGTCTTAGCTGACCTTATATCATAACATAACTTCTGATCTTGCTTCCTCGATGAAACCTGAGATGAAAAAAGAAATGATAATTTGAAAACATATAATTTGCTTGGTTGTTTTAGTTTGTAGTTATAATACTTCCAGAATGGAAATCAAATGATAATGCAGTGGGCATTCCATTTCGTTCTTTAATCTTCCAGTATTACGTCTGTCAAAGCTGAGAAAGAGGTGTGCGCTGCTTACCATTTGTCTTTAGAATTATCGGGAGGTAAGAACTGTTGACCAGTTTTGAAATGAAATAAACTGTTCAACAGTTCACATTCCCAGTAAATTCGAGCCGATGTTTAATTTGAGTGCGAAATGTTTACCAGGGTATATTATCTGGAATGTGGACGCCAGAGAGTGAACTATCAACCTGTATAATTTCGAACGGTTCTGAAGTTTGCATTCCTAAATTGCTGTTGGCCATTGTATTCTTTTGGAATCAAACAAGGTGGCAAAGTGAAAGTGAACTGTTGAGCAGTAATTAGCTCGTAACCACGTTCTAACTAATTCGTTGGCAGATTTCTGGTACTATGTTTCAATTCATATACACCGGGACAGCGCGTACGCAGTCCCGACTAACAAAAATTACACGTCCGAGTTATTCGCATTAGGAATAATCGCAGGGGTCAGCCCAGCCGAAGTGCAATGGGAGGGCCTCACCCTGGGGGAACCGCCTTGTTGATCACGGTTAACCCCTACGCCAGGTAAGTATGCTTTCCAAATGTCTCACACCATTATTTATCTGCTCTCGTCCGATCGGCAGCGAGATAACGCGACTAATCAGCTACAGCGCCATCTATCGTCATCGGTTTGACAATGAGAGTACCTACTATTACTGAAATAGTAAATAAGAAGAGTAATTTCGCTGAAAAAATATTGTATCGTACTATGGATTCACTATCTACCAAATCCTCATTATTAGTCTGATTTATTTTATCATTCAATATTCTGGAGTTTGGGGAGAGGTAATTAGCTACAAACTTGGGATTAACATGGTCTTGCCATTCCGGTATATGTTACTTCAGAACGTTTCAGAATTTTCGAAACAAGAAAATCCCACAAAAAATATGTACTATCCCATATCTCCAAAATGTTCGATCCTTTGGGATTTGTGAGCCCGTAAATAATTAAGTCAGAAATATTAATGCAAAAACTTTGAATGAAAAAAATATCATGGGACGATTCCATGCCAGTAGATTTGCAGGAATCGTGGGACCGCATACAGGGTGAATTGAATGGCCTAAATTATGTCAACGTACAGCTCTCTGGATTTTCCGAAGCATCTGAAAATGCATACAGGATTTGTATAGGAGCAGCAAATGAGGAGGGCACAATAGCTGTACGATTACTCTGTTCTAAATCTAGAGTAGCCCCTATCAAGTCTCTGACGTTTCTGACGAAACTTGAATTGTGTGGTGCTCTATTGCAATCACTTTCTCACTCAACCATAGTTCTTTCATGGATAAATATAGTGATTTGCGTACTTTAAAAACCTTCGAAGCTATATAATCCTGTTTCAAAGATACAGAATATCACTAGTTCTCACCTCTGGCGAATGTTGCTACAACAGATAATCCAGCGGATTTAGTATCAACAGCAGCTGATTCAGAAATAATTTTTTCAAAGCCTCCTTGATGGTGGTGGAATAACTCGAACCAAAGCTGTAATTCGGAAAATTTTAGAGATAAATCAATGAATAAAAAACAAAATGCTCGCAAAAGAAGCCTCTTTCGTATAGGGTGTGAGCACGTATACCATTACTCAATTAACACACAGGGTGAGTCAAAAATTAAGAATAAATCATCGTTCGAGTTATTCCACCACCATCAAGGAGGCTTTGAAAAAATGTTCACCTCTTTATTTTTTTTAAGACAAATGCATTACCTACCAACAAATAAAAAATATAAAAATCGGCATGTTTTTTTTTTGATAATACTCGTTATTACCAAGGTTTATATTACATTTTTTCGCCACTAACAATAATATTTATCAATCATTTTGGTTCTGTAAAACTGAAATATGGACACTTATTGTCACTATGAAAGCACCATTTTCTTTGAACATTATAGGGATTCCCTTTCGTGCGCTTATGGTGCGCTCCAAGCGATAAAAAATAAAAAATTTAGTCCGTGCGTAAAGGCATATATATACGTTCCCCCATCACGTGCTTCATCAATTGCGTACTCTGCAGGCGATATAGGATGTAGGTAGATGACTAGTTAGAAACAGCAGAAAGCAGTTTCAAACTAAGTGCAGGATGAGAACTTATTTTTCAGTTATTGTATTGGCCCGACTTTCGTCGAGCACTCAAAAAATTATTTAAGACTCATTTGTGTTGTCCCTCTCCACGGAAATCTTTAGTAAAAGGCGAAAGATTTATTCGCAATGAAGAGAGACCAGAGTAACAATAAATTGAACTTAGTGATATTTATGACCAACGAGCAGTCGCCTGTTAGCGACATACTAGTAGCGCCATCTCTCGTTGATCGCTCGAAGCTCGTGAATGTTGTTTACCTGTTATGGAATTCTTTATTTTTTCAGGATCCGAATATTTTCTGTAGACTGATGAACACTGCTTCGGATATTTTCGTTCCCTGAAGATTTCATGACGGGAGACTATCGTGATATCGAATAGGTTGAAATAAAATTATACTTTACCTATCAATCCTATTATTATTAATTTCCTATGAACAAATACATTATTCTACATGGATAACCTACTTGCATGGTTCTGGTTATATCTACAAAACAGCCTCAAATTCGGTAGATAAGTTCATTCTTAAATTTGTGGTGAGCATATCAACAATAATAATAGCGATTATATTTTTCTCTCCATATTCCACTGTGTGTGGCTCGGTAATCAAATGAAGGTAAACAATATCGTTGTGTGAGACAAAAGAGTATTGCTGGCCGTGATTAATCAAAAACAAGTTATCCAATCAATCAGATCCCGAGAATGAATGAAATACATATCGAGCAAGTATGTGCATCTTGAAGGCTTCCCTGATCAACACAAAAATACATAACTATAATATGGTGTATTTATATCTTCAGCATGGGTATGAAATGCGAAATCTGCCGAAAATCGGTAACAAATGAGGTATGCTCATCAGCCCAAATAACCAACCATAACAATGTTGTTTTTCTGCAACCGACACAAAAGTCGTCCATTTTGATACCAAAATGATCTCTTAAATTGACGTTTCTATATTACTGACACGAAAATAGGTATGTTGCTAGGCAACATATTTAGTTCCTAGCAGCTAAAGTTGAATTTTAGTTCCTAGCAGTTAAAGTAGAACTTTAGCTCCTAGGAAAAAGGATGTACTGGACATCA